TCCTCCGTCCTAGTTTGGAAATCATCGGCCGTACGCACCCACCCCACTGACAGGGTTCGAACCCAGGACCTTCAGGTTACAAGGCAAGCTAACTCGAATACCATTCAGCCACTGGGACCCGACTCATCAATGGCCAGCACATGAATTCTAACTTCTACCAATTCATGGCTGAATGGTATACGAGTTTGCCTTGTAACTGGAAGGCCCTGGGTTCGAACCCTGTCGGTGGGGTGGGTGCGTACTGCCGATGATTTCCAAACTAGGACGGAGGAAACAGCTGTCCAGTACTCCAGTGCTGGTTTTCAATTGTTCTCTAACTGATATCAATCCGTGATCAACTCGTAAAAACAAAACTAATCCTTACAAACCAACCATAGAAAATTATTATTAGCAGTAATAGATATGAGCGGCAGCTTTTTTTATATTTATGTATGGTGTTTTCACTTTGCTTACGATTCACATGAAATATTCACCTAATTTCATGCTATCTGGGTAGCGCATTTGACATTTTTCTTCTAAATATTTGCTTATTACTATTATTACTACTTATTATGCATGAGTGTATCCTTTAATACGTGTTCACTTTCAACCTCTAGTTACTCTCCTTGAAAATTTTCAATTGCGGTACTAATTTATCATTGAAAATAATTAGGTTATCTCCAAGCTTTCATATGCATCGGTGTCACAACGGTAGAATGCTTACCGACCACGCTGAGGGTTCGGGGTTCTATCCCCGGCCACGGATGCACTCCTTTACTTCACTAAGCCAGTAATAAGACTGGTGAAGAAGGAAGGTAGGGCATGAGACTAGCAACCCCTTCCTATAAGAAAACAAATACCATTGCAACCGAAACTTCGAGTCTTTAGCTTGAAGCCACCCTATGTTCCACTGGGAACGTAAAGGAATATAAAAAAGATTTCTTTATGAAGTGAAAAGATTTCGGATATTGAATATCAACTCTGAGAGAACATCAAACACATTCTGTCCTCTCTGTGAGGATTAATTAAAATGTCATCAGACTTAAAAACTTTGGTACTGACTTTTTGATTTGATTAAGGCTATGGGTCGTTAAGATGCTAACTGTATCATTTTGAAATTCATTTAAGCAAACTAATGATCGTAGCATTAATTCGTTTTCATGAATTGATGAAGGTTAATGGAATAAAATTGAGTTCATTCTCAAGTCCTTTCTACTTTTAAAATACTCACATAATATGTAATAATAGGGAGGTTGCATATAGATAGGAAACTGGATTTTCATTGCTTTAATTTAATTTTGACCTGGTTACAAGTTTGATGACTGGTTGACATTAGTTAGAGAACCATCGGAGTACTGGACTGTTCATCAGTCTGTACCCACTGGCATTCAAGCATAACACTTGATAATTTCAATGTGCTTTTAAAACACAACACAATTTAGAAACGTAATAATAATAATGTAATAATAATAACAGGTTTATTCTGAAAGAGTATTTATATAATGTACATAATTTTCAGCGGAGTTTTGTTGCATGATATTTTCTCGTCATCGAAGATCTTCGCGATCGTGTGACACACTTCTATTTGACCTGAATTGCAAACCAATCCATTGTGATGCCCTCCCCCTTTGTCTCCATTGAGAAATGCGCGACATTTTGTTGAATGCCAGTTTTAAAAAAGTTCGGAAGTACATTTTGAGAAGCAAGGACACCACCATTCAGAAACGGTCATCTCATGTATTGGAGTAAGCTTCCATCAAGGAGATAATGCTGTTTTCCCCTGTTTTAGTAGAAACTCGCAAATCAACAGGCTGTAAATGTTTTAAATACTCACCAGAGCCAAAAAATATTATTATAGGTCATATTTTTCTAGATTTAAACAAACTAAACAAGAGGAAATATATATATGGAGCAGTATATAAGCAGTAGTCGACACTGAAGACGGAGAAAATGAAGGAGGGGTAGGCACACAAAATGACACATAAGGAATAGAGACTATGTCTACGACATTACAAAGTGTCCGTTTCAGTGCAACAGTTTGTGTTTTCCAACTTCTAAGAATGTATGGTGTTGATTTGTAATTTAATTTAACTTCGCATTTTTAATTCCACACAAACTTAACATTTAAAACAACAAATATGGCCGGAAGTGTTCTCATACATTTTATCTAAAAATTAATCTGAACATGTCCTTCATTTTCTTTGCTTCTTCAAATGTGTATTTTTTTAAAACCCCCTTTCGAAAGCTTTTCTTACGGAAGTTGAATCACAGACATCTTGACGTGTACCATTTACAGTTATTGAGACAGTCATGGTACACGAACTTGCTTCGAAGTAATGTTCAGAGGTGATTAATTAAGTACATGGTACTAATGGTACTGTGTGGAATTTTCAGCGTGTAATTTTATTGAATAACATTAAAAACAATTATAAAGATAATATTACAGGATTGTTAATGGCAGTTCTTATTTGGTATTTGTAGTGGCTAAGATTGTCCGTCAATTGAGATAGTATCACTACAGATTACAAATAGGAGATTATAAAAGCGCCGATTATTTTGGTAACAACATAGTAATTCATAGGTTTCCCGCTTAACGCCGCCTCTACCGCATCGAACACGGGCTAGCCAAATATAGTATCGTTGAGTTCCTATACTTGGTAGTACGAGGATATAATCTTTTATACTGACTTCTAGTTCTACCAGCTGAGAATAGTGGGCGGGAGTGCTGAGTGTCAGACAATATGGATTTAGACCACTTCTTGCATGAGTTCAGTGACAAGCTGACTAATTAGCACACCACTTTCCCTACTGACAACCTTTAATACCCTCCTCAAAATGACATAGTCCTTTTTCAGTAGCCAGCCCAGGAAAGACTAAGGGGGAGCAGTAAAGTACAATAGGTAGGATACACGAGTTAACAAATTTTAAAAGCAGAGGTTGAGTGATTCCAGATTTTTTTAGCTTCTTAATGTACTAGTAGCTTAAACGGAACACTTTCTTGGAGGTCGACAAAATATGAGAGGACCAAGCAAGATCAGAAGATTTAATTATACCAGGGTATTTTGTGTTAGACTTAGTTTCTATTACAGTCCCCTCTATGCTACAAGCATCATGTGTACTGATCAGTCGTTGTAGATCACGTTTATGTCTAATGCAGAAGTCAGCAGTCTGGCATTTTAAGGGATCTCGCAGTCATATAAGTTTCCACTTCGATTTCAAACTTTTCAACCGGTAGATGTACCTTAACTAATTAGAAACGAGTCAATGAATAAAGCAGAATACACCTTGTGAAATCTCATGTAATACTGAATATATCAATGACACAGATAATGTCTCAGATTTAGGGAAACAAAGTGCTTGCTAAAAATTTTACTATATATATCCACTATTTTTTTATTAGAATACAAATAGTTAGTATATCAGGATGCTTCGGTGGCACAGCAATAGAATGCTCACCAACTACGCAGGTGGTTCAGTGTTCATTACCCGGCCGACACACTCCTTCACATCACTAAGGCAGTAACAAGCCTCTAGCTTGAAGCCACGCTATGTTCCACTGGGAACATAAAGGAATAAAAAGAGGATATCAGTGGTACTTATGCAGTGAATTATAACTAGCCTGACCAGTACTGTTAGCATTTGTATTAGTAGCAGTTTTAATGCTTATATGAAGGAAAATACAAATTTTTACGCTTTTAGACTACACTACAGGAATAAACAATCTGGAACTAATTATACTTCTCTTGCATAATTCCCGCTTTATTTGTTTATTTATTTATGTTAATTAAAGTGCTTATACCCCTGCCCCCCCCCCAATCTTTGATATTTCCGGTTTCATTCAATGATATTATCTCTGAATCAGTTTAAGGCTTCGATTCTTGAATGGTAAAGAATCTTATTTAACTGGACATCAATCTAATGGCTGGTTGTTGCATGATAAGTAGACATGAAACTGAAAAAAGTGGGGGAAGGAAAAGAAACAATTAAAGAAATTAACACATTTAAATACTACTAATGATAATTTATACTTTTCTAGAAACTAAACTTACTAAATATACAAGCTGTTCTTCACATCCAGTTGCCTCGCTTCCTATGACTATAACTGGACAGAAATTTTCGGCCACTACTGAAATGTTATCTCCTAGTACGAATTCTACAGCGATGTCCGACAACTAAATTGAAATAATACGGAAAGTAGTGACTAGCAGTGAAATCCTCGGTGTATATTTCGTCCTATTTTGAACTTACCAGCTGGTTGTATGTGAATTTCCCAGTGAGTGATGATGCTCCCACTGAGGTTCAAATCCAGTAATCAAGCGTTATTCCCTAGACAGAATGTGCCACGAGATCCACCCCCTCGTGCAGTGGATGCCAGTTATTATTTATTTTTAATTAATTTCGGTTCAATCAACCAATGGGAAAATCAGAATTAAATTAAAAAAAAATAACTGACATTCGTTGCAGAGGATGTGGTTCACTTGGCCTAAGTGGTCTACAGGATAACATCTTGGCTTTTGAAAAGGTGGATAGTGTGTTCAAGTTTCACTGGGGATATCATCAATCACTGAGGCATGCAGCTACATTCAGATGATAAGTCCCAAATAGGACGAAATGTACGTTGTCCTGGATTCCAGTGCTAGTCACTATCCACCAATTCAATGTTTGATAATTTGTCTATAAATTCAAACTCAATAAATCTCTGTGTTACTGACTGAAATTAGCTGCATAATCAGCCTATATAATTATGAGGTGTAATCACTAGAAACGGTAGTGTTTTGGGATGACATTCAGTCGCTTGGATGACATATTCGCGTCAGTGTAACGATTACTATGTTTTATACAAGTCTTCTATTTCTCTGTATAATAGACTAAATAGTTTCTTATACTCTTAACAGCCTCATTTTCTTCTACAAATGCTTTCAATATTGGTATCCTTCTCAAATAAAGAGTGAATAGCATTCATGTAGAAATACTTATGCTTACAAATTAAATTTATCTGTATTTCCTTTTCTTTTTTTCAGCTATAGACAAGTCAGAGTGTTTAACAATCTCTGCTACTTCTCAATTAAATCAACCTTCAACTGTTTCAGTTAATTCTAGTAGTACTGCAAGTTATTTTGATTCACAGAATCTAATCTCTAAAGCACCAACTTTAACCACAGATACATTTGAAAATCACAATATTGATACTCCTACTACTACTAATAGTAATAATACTAATAATAATAGTAATATGGATAAATCTGGTTATTTCAACACAATCGACATGATTCAACGACTCTTAGTGAATACAACAAATTCAGAAATTCTACTAGATTTAATCAGAAAGAATTACACCCTGGAGACTGAGAGAAAAGTTGATGAAAAACACCTGACACTGTACAATTTACTTGAATTGTCATCAATGCTACTTACAGACAAATCAAATCATCCGTATAATAATAATAGTAATAATAATTCAGGAAATTATCCTCTGAATCCATTAAATACAATAGCTGAAATGACGGGGATGAATAATGTCAGTCAACAATGTGCGTACAATCCTAATACTTCTGTTAATACTGCTTATAATAGTAATAATAATAATAGTAATAATGATTTACTCATATGGTTGCAAAATTCTGCATTACCATTGTCTACTAACACACCAATGAATAAAACTGTTAGTCCAGTGAACACATCAACGAATCAACCAATTACTACTTCCGCTTTATTCAGTAACACTAATAATAATAATAGTAATAATAATAACAATTTGAATCATTGCATCACTGACAATAGTAGTATAAATACCCCTGCAAACAAGATTAGCAACGAAGTCAAAAGTATAAGTCCCACTAGTAATAATAATAACAATAATAATAATATGGTTAATGCCGGTAATAATGACAATCATAATAACCAATTAGCTTACTTGGTCAATTTATTAAATCTACACAATCGTCTATCTGCTGAATATCCAGCATCGAATTGGTCCAGTGATCTACAACAGTATGCATTGAATTGTTCACAACATACTGGTTTAAATACGTCAACAGGAATAACAACACCAGCGGCAATAGTTCCATGTGAAAATCGTTTATTCAAATCGTCAAGGACTGGTGATGTTAAAATGAATCATAGTCAAGAGAATAAAACAGATGATCATTATAAGGAGACAAAACATCCTGGGAGCAATAATAATATTGGTGTACATAACGATGAAGATGATTATGCTGATGAAGAAATGAGTGAAAGTGAAAGTCTGACTAAGATGACAGATTTTATGTCATCGAATGCACGGCTAACTGAATTCTGGTCGAATGGAGTCGGTTCAACTTCAGACAGTCAAGGTATGTATAGAAAAAGAAAGCACAACTTATCTACCAGTTTATGTAAAAATCTTACGGTGATAAAGGTTAATCAAAAATACATGTAAACTGCATTGACAAATGAAACTTAAACGCTTTATTTTATTCCTGTACGTTCCCAGCGGAGCATAGGGTGGCTTTAAGCTAGAGCTTTGGAAATTCGGTAGCAGTGGTGTTTATTTGGTGATATTAGATGGTTGGAGGCAATCGGCCACAGAAGCCTTGCCTGACCTAGGTTTCGTGCTAGTTGGCACTCATCAGCAAGGCGTATCTGCAACTGCCTTGCAGGAATTCATGCCCCTTCTTAGATTCGAACCCGCGTCACCCACTGCTGCAGACAGAGACGTTACCACTGAGCTGTTCGGGCTCGCGATTTACCTCCTGTAGGACTGTATTGGATATTTTTGATTGCACACTAGTCAGTAACTAGTGTGATGTGTCTAGTCCTTTCTTTGGTGCAGACTGAATTCTATCAGTCAGGTTTTGCAATATGGCCACCATTCTAGGTAGCTCGCTATCACGGTGTACATTGATTTGATGATATTAGATAGTTGGAAGCATCTCTAGTCCCATGCCCAACCTTCCCTTCTTTGCCAGGTGTATTACCAAGTAAACGAGGTTTGGGAGTGCTTCAGCAGGGGGTCGAACCCTGAACCACCTTAGTAGATGGCAAGCGCCACCAAAGCACAACAAATCTCAAAGGAATTATGATAATCACAAATGTGGGTAACAGTCAATAAGATTACTGGGACAATGGACTTTTAAAATCTCTTAGATTATGTCGTTATTTAAAAAAATTTTTGCGCCTTTTTTAAAAAAATCCTTAAACTATATATTTGTGTGTAGACTCAGGTATACATTATTTATAAAAAAGAGTAAGTGAAAATAAATTTGACTAATTACCATCACAGATTACTTTTACTATACAACTGATATCCGTTTGAACAGAATTAAATTCAACAACATTCCAACAGAAAATATTTGCCATAAGAGAAGTACAACGTACTGACCACACTAGCTACTTGCATAGAAATATTGTATTGCTTTTTTTTTTCTGTACAATCAGAAATCAACATATCACATAAGAGATAATCAACCACTTAATGCTTCTTTCTGATTTATATAATACGTTTGACAAGAGAGTATTCCTAAAAACACAGAATATCATATAGCTGTTTATCCAAATTTTATTATGAATTATAAAGAATTACAACTCTAATTTATTACAATCTCTTATGAGCAATAATACTTTCCTGTTTTGCACTCCACATTACAGCGCCAAATGATATTATGAATGACAATGGTACCGATGATAGTATGGATTGTAAACCAGATTTCAATTCGAAATCATTATCCTTACAATTTTTACGCCGGAAAAAGAAAACACGTACTGTATTCTCTAGAAATCAAGTTTACCGGTTAGAGTCAACATTTGCTGTGAAACGTTATCTATCGAGTTCTGAACGTGTTGGCTTAGCTAGAACATTACAGTTGACAGAAACCCAAGTGAAAATATGGTTTCAAAATCGGCGTAATAAATGGAAACGTCAGATTGCTATTGACTATAAACCAACAAATATGGCCGCCTCTGATGAGCTGATGTCTTCAAGACAAAGTGGGATAATTCTACCACCAGCAGAGACAAATGAAACCATGAAGTTGCAAACATCCACGTATGATGTTACTTGTACTACACCTCAACATCATGTTACAAGTGCTGGGTGTGAATTTCCTTTGAAAAATTTCATGAATACAGTATCATCAATTGAATCATGGATGGCGAATAGTTATCTTCAATCGAATGTTTTAAATGCAAATTATCTTCAAAGTAATAATAATAATAGTAATCCACTATTACCTTTATGTAATTTTAATCTTCCAAAGAATTATTTAAATCCAGACTCCTGCCTTAATAATGCAGACGCAAGGAATCCAGCTTCAAATGATTCTGTAAATCCTACAGATCTCAGCATTTCATCCTGGTATCATAACAAGAATAACAATAGAAGTGAAGATATTGACACATCGTGTCATTCAAAACAATCATCGCCTTCATCATCACCATCTTTATTATCTGTACCAGTTGCAATGTCTCAATCATCTGTGAATAACACATCTACTATTATTACCTCAACGATCCAGAATTCTCCAGTAGACATCCTACGGACAGCACCGCCACCACCACCAACAACAACAACGGCAGCAGCATCAACCCTTCCACTGGCGGTAAATTCATCAACAAATTTCGACAGTAGACTGTCTAACACAGAATCAATCCTATCCAATTTACATATGAATAAAATTTCCGCAGGAATTGATGCTTCAGATCTCGCCGATCTTCTTGAAGTACATCGTCGTATTCTAAAGGATAATAAAGATCCAAGTAAAATTATGGCAGCACTTAATGCAGTGACAGCAGATCTGTTAACACGGATTGCATAACAAACTTTTCGATTTTTCAATTGCAGGTTCAATTTGCCAAATTTGAATGATCTCTTTAGTCGTGATAAGAACCTTCATAGGGTTTTCTGATAATTTATTTCAGTTATTATTATTTTCTTTCTTCTTCAACTGTTTATATCTATCTATCTATCTACCTTTATTCATATTCAATGGTCATTCAATGTTCAATAGTTTTTAGCATCTAGTCTGTATCGTAGTAATTAATAACTTTTAACTTTTATCACTGTTCATGTGTACTTTTAATTAATTAATTAATTTTCTTTTCTCCTCTCTTAAATATATATAATATTTACATCTACTTTGATATCGTTATTATTTAACTCTTCATCTATCGATTACAATGCATACATTGATGATTCATTCTTTACATAATTAAATAATGTATTGTCATGAATAGTGTTGATTAAACAGTAATTACGATAATATTCATATTAAATGATAATAATAATATATAGATAATTTTACTAGTTCTCATATTCTGAAGTAATTCATATCAAAGACGAGTGCATTTCAAGCGTTGGTTTGTAAGGAATTGATTGATTAGTTAGAGAACTATTGGAAAACCTAGAATTTGAGACTTTTCAGTAGTATGCAACCACTGGTTCGAATCCAGAACCTTCAGACTGTGAGGTGAGCTCGTTGATCATTTAGCTACTGAGAGATGGAATTTTAATTTCTGTCAATTTATGATTTCAACTTAGACAAATTGAAAGATAAAAAAACCTTCTTCGGTTTTTTTTTAGTTGAGACAATCACCACGAAGATGAGTGAATCACTTTGAGGTGTAACTGAATTTTTACTTCTTAGCATATTATCCATTCTCTATGAAATATTTCAACAGTATATGATCTTTAGGATAAAGAAGTCATACTTGGAAACATTGTTATTTATTCTTCTAGGTTTAGCAAAAGGTTATGAATTGTATCCTAATAACTGGTATTAATAGGATCTCAGTATATTGCTTCTTTTTTTTGAGAAGTACAATACGTCTGTTGTGAACAGACTCTAACATACTCACTCCTACTGGATAATTATTGGTAGAATATGAGGTAAATTGTATTTACAAGTATTGGTTTTTGTAGGGATTTTTTGTTTGATTGGTTGGAGGATTTCATCATGAGCTGACATCAGTTAGACAACCATTGGAAAACCAACCACAGGGAGTACTAGACAGCCGACTGTTTCGTTAGCTTAGTTTGCGACTCTGCTTCAGTAGTACACACTCACCCGACCATAGGAGGTTCGGACCCACGACCTTCTGGTCACAAGGTTAGCGAGCTCGTAGACCGTTAAGTCACTCACTGGGACTCACCCGTTCCAATGGCCGGTTCATGAATTACAACTTCTGCCAATTCACAACATAGCACAACCACTTCACGATGTATTGTTCGATGAGTAACTGTGATCACCTTCGACCTGCTGTGCCCTAATGTTCACAGCTTCTCACTAGAACCCGAGATAAGTGCTTGAATAGGGTCAGTTACTAGTGAACGTCAGATAGATTTTCAAGTTTTGGTTTCGTAGGGATTTTGTTTGTTTGACTGGTTGGAGGATTTCATCATGCTCACCAGTGAATGAACTTATTCAGGCAATCACCCGGGGTTCTAGTAGGAAGTCGTGGACAGTAAGTCACAACAGGTTGAAGGTGAGGGCAGTTACTCATCGAACAAGACACTGCTAAGGGGTCGCGCTATGCCATGAATTGGCAGAAGTTAGAATTCATGGGCTGACCATTGGATCGAGTGGGTCCCAGTGAGTGGCTTGATGGTCTACGAGCTCACTAGCCTTATAACCAGACGGTTGTGAGTTCGAACACTGTCAGTAGGGTGGGTCCGTATTGCTGAAATCGTATTTACGTCTAAATAAATAATTCCGACTATTAAAACACACATAATGTCTTTCAAATTCAGTACATGAAGAATAAAATCTCAAAGATACAGTTCTATTCTGTTTATCAAGAGTACTCCAAGACTGTTCAACCTCTATATGACATAACCTACACGTTGATAAGCTCACAGACACTCAGTATGATATGACTTTACATCAGACAAATAATAAATGAAGTACTGGTCACTTCATTTTTAAGGATTTGGGTTATGTTAGTGGTGAAATTCACTAGTTGCTTTACCCATTCAATATGTTTTACTGAAAAATTCTGATCTCAGACTTAAAAGACATTCAGTACTGATCATTTTGTGATATCCTGAAAACTAGCGATATATTTGACTACCTAAGAAAGAACAAGAGCACGGCAGAGTAGTCCAGCATATCCAGCATTACTTCTATGAAGCACGGGTGTTAACAGTAAAGGACATGAAAGGTTTACATGTTTTCACTACAGAATCTTATAGGTTGTCATGCGTGAAAAACAAGTCAGTGATTGAAGTTCACAGGAAGTTAAGATCGGTCTAACCAAATTGTAGCAATAGTCTATGAGGTTTATAACTATCGGTGTAAATGATACAAGCTGTTGGTTGAACATTAGTTAAGTGTACATGCTTGTGCATACTCATAACCATGGTAAATTTACAAATTTTGAGAGTTTCATTCTGCATTCGGTGGTGAAATCCACACCTTTAGTGAAGAAGTCAATAAATTAGTGAGTACACTCCAAAAATTAATAAATGTTCACATTAATACTACTTATTTTTAATGCGTCGGTGTCACATAGGTAGAATACTTGCCAACCACACCTCATGTGGTCCGGGGTTCGATCCCCTGCCAACACATTCCTTTACATCGCTAAGCCAGTAATAAGACTGGTAAAGAGAGAAGGTTAGCCATGAGACTAGCAACCACATCCGGAAAAAATAAACACTACTATTACCGAAACTTCAAGCCTCTAGCTTGAAGCCACCCTATGTTCCATTCCTTTTTGATTTTCCCGTTGACTGACTGGATCGATAACTTTAGCATCTGATGATATTAGATGGTTGGAGGCAATCGGCAGGAAGCCATGCTTGGACCTAGGTTTCGTGCTAGTTGGCACTCATCAGCAAGGCGTATCTGCAGTTGTCTTGAAGGAACTCATGTCCCTTCTGAGATTCGAACCCACGTCACCCAGTGCTGTAGTCAAACGTTACCACTGAGCTATTCGGGCTTGCGATTGACCTCCTGTAGGACTTTATTGGATATTTTTGATTGCACACTAGTCAGTAACTAGTGTAATGTGTCTAGTCCTATCTTCGGTGCAGACTGAATTCTATCAGTCATGTTCGCAATGTAGCCACCATGCTAAAGTTAATAACTCAGAACACTATCGTCATCTATACCTGGGATTCATGAGAGTATAAATGTCAAGCAGTTTCTCGGTGCATTTCAGTTCACACACGTGAGCCGTATATAAGCAGAAAAAGTAAAATCTTTTGGAAAGATTGACATTTGGAAGAAACAGTAGAAGTGACTGGAAATGCTCTTCTATCAAATTCATTCTGCTAAGATTGATTTACTTTCCCTCCTTATTAATGAGAAGCACTGAGTTCATTAGGCACAGTGGATTACTGAAAAAATACGGGAATATTAGGGATTGCCTTTATTAATGACTACATTTTATATCAAAACAATCAATGTGCGGATGAAGTATCCTTTAAAAATTTAAATAAGTCAAAACACTAGAAAACAACAACTACCAGAATTCCTATCTCCCAATGAACAACTTATCAAACATTAACTGATCAAGAGGAATTTCTGCTCTAATTTCTTGTTGGGTAGTTTATTTACTACGGACCATAGCAGCAAAGCATTAATTGGTTTCGACACAATTTATTCCTCATCATCACCTCAATGTGATAATGAGCAGCCAATAAACAAGCTAACACAGAACTGTGTTCTATAACAGTGCCACGTTCTACTCTCTTATACTGGTCTACTTTCTACTTGGAAAGGTTATGAAATACTGCTTCAAATCATTTGCGATTGGTTGGAAGATTTCATCATGAACTGACATCAGATAGAGAACCATTGGAAAACCAGCCATGAGATTTGTATCCTAGATTCCATTGCTAGTCACCACCCATCAAATTACCACATTAATACAGCCTGAATTCTTTATTTCTGTAGTATCATTCTGGAGGTGTTAATTTCATTTACTTGTTGGACATTTTTCTTTACTGCAAAATGTTGTAGAATGGAGATAATCCGCTGCTAAAAATGATGTTTGAAGTTTTACTACCCTCCCTACGAAAGTACACGTAAATGAAATCACTTTTTAGAAGTTCATGCAGTGGAGCGAAACTAACTAAACTGTCATTGTGAATATCAAAGTTTCCAATGAATAAGGAATTGAATCTAATCTTGTAGGACAAATAAAAGGTCTGTAGAAGACGACTGTAGGCGACCAGATACTGTGCAATTTAGTATCTATAAACGATGGATTTATGAAGTATACAAACAACAGAAATTACATCATGCTCGAAGTCATATAAGCCATTGCTTCTCAGCTGTTTAAGCTAAGATCATGTGTATACAATGTAGTTTACAAGTATGTTCTTTAATATGCAATTTTTAAGTTTTATCGATGTAAACATTAAGTTTAATTGGTGTCTCTCTGACTGATCTAATTTCTCCCTGTCAGAAACCTGACTATCTATAACCAGGGTAAATATTTCAGCTTAAGTGATCATTTCAACGGTTTGTGTATTAAGTTCTCATTTAACCTTCGTTTATTTGCAAAGATTAGTTTTGTTTTTACGAGTTGGTTACGGATTGATGTCAGTTAGAGAAGCATTAAAAACCATCACTGGAATACTGGAAAGCTGTTTCATCCTAGTTTGGGGATCATCGGCAGTACGCTGACAGGGTTCGAACCCCAAGTATTTTCCGGTTACAAGGCAAGCTAGCTCGTATACCATTCAGCCACCACTGGGACCCGATTCAATGGCCAGTTCATGAATTCCAACTTCTACCATTTCGTGATTTAGCGCAAACCCAACCAATGTCGTCGGTGGGAACTTCATCCTTACTGCCGACTGCACTGACCTCACTGGTCATGACTTCTCACTAGAACTCAAGGAAACTCCATCCTGTAGCAAGTCACTAGTGAGCATCAGATTAATTTTCTATAGTTGGTTTGTAAGGATTAGTTTTGTTTGTGCGAGTTGATCACGGATTGATATCAGTTGGAGAACAATTGAAAACCCGAACTGGAAAACTGGACGGCTGTTTCCTCCTTCCTAGTTTGGAAATCATCGGTAGTACGCACTCATCCCACCGACAGGGTTCAAACCCAGGACCTTCCGGTTACAAGGCAGGCTCGTATACCATTCAAACCCCATTGGGTGAGTACTGCTGATGATTCCCAAACAAGGACG